CTCCACTACAATCCATACAAGCAGAAAGACCATTCCAGTTTGTGTGCACTGGTATTACTGAGCTCCCAGTCACTTCTCAGGGACATATGTGCTTGTAGTGCAAGATCATTTTACAAAGTATGTTAACGCTTTTCCTATGGCAGATCAGAAAGCAACTACAGTAGCAAAACTACTTTGTGAGAGATACATTCCTGAACATGGAGTTCCAGAGGAACTGTTTTCAGATCAGGAAAGACAATATGAATCAGAAATCATTCAAACAATATGTCAGACTAAAAATCCAAAAGAAAAGAACCTCACCATACCACCCCCGTGGAAATGGGATGGTTGAAGGATTTAATAGGACTCTAAAAGGACACTTGGCTAAACTCATTCATGATTATGGTGGTGAATGGGACCACTATTTGCCAGCAGTGGTTCTCTCATTTAACTCTACTTCACATTCTAGCACTGGATACTCGCCTTACTTTCTTGCTCATGGCAGAGAACCTCGTGTTCCAGCTACTGTGAATCTCTCTCCACCTGGGGTATCACAGACTCCACAGAACTATGGCTCTGAACTGGTGAGATGACACAGTTTTTCAGGCTGTTCGTTCTCATTGTGAGGAACAGAGACTCAAGCGTCAGTACTACTTCAACAAACCTGTTAAGTTCAAACCTTATCATTGGGGCGACCTTGTATGGATGGACGATCCCACTACGCTGATAAAGAAACTGGACCCTCACTGGACTGGACCTTACAAAGTTGTCTCAGCTGATAACAATGGACTCGCATATAAACTTTTGGACTTGAGGCATCCCCAAGCTGGAACAAAAGCTGTTCACTATGATCGATTAAAGCCTTATCGTACCACTCTTGATACATCTTCAGCACCAGAGAACCACCCTGTACCTCGCCAGCATATGGACGCTTTCCCCAGGTACACGTCATTATCTGGTTCACTCCCTATGTACTCTGTACCATGTGACAGTGGACAAGCTTCTGCCCCTGCCTGCCCCTCTATTCCTATTCTATTATAAGGAGGACGGGTCTCAGAAGTCCAGCCACAACAGAACGAACAGACTGTTCTGGTGACACACTCACTACTCGTTCAGGTCGGGTTGTTCGGAGACCACAGCGGCTTAAACAACAACAACAACAACAACAACAACAACAACAACAACTGCACGTCAACATTTGGAATGTATATGTGTTTTGCTGAATGCCAATATACATATGTTACCTGTGTTTAGGGGTTTCATTATATTTGATGGGTTTGAAGTGTAAGTGTTGGGCAATTTTGCAAAACCTGTACTGCCGGTAACGAAATGTGGTAGTTGATGGATGATAGCATACGTACAATGGTTATTTCCACACAGGTGACTTACAATGTTTTGCTATTTTCTTTGCAGTTATAGAGTTTATTGTCTCTGCTGTGTTTAAATTCTTAGATGAGATTTTATTTTTTTATAACCTGTGAAATGGGGACATTTCATCTGAAGAAAGGGAAGAATGTAAGATGAGATTTATTTTATTTATTTTATAGATGACTCCATTTACGGAAATAAGTTGCATAATTTAATTAATGTTAACTATAAACATATGTTGTATTTTGTTTCTGAGCTTTAACAGGAACTACATTACATGGTGCACCTTGCCTGAAAAGTTAGTACCGGCCAAGGTTGGCGGAGTGATATGAGGAGGAGGTGATATGTGATGGATCATTAAACAAGTGGACGCAGTTCTCCTGAAGAAGTTGTCCCCGTGCTCTTATTTTACCCACGTCTACCCAGCACTACATAGTTAGCGCCACAAGAAAGGTTCAGCGTTACATTACTATTATCTTAAGGCTTACAACCGTTATGCAGGTTTTAAGCCATCCAACAAATCTGGATTCATGCCATATGTAACAATCTTCTCTGATATCTAAGTGAGAAAGAAAAACTCCCTTCAGTACTCTGGCTTGTAAAGTATAAGCTGTGTGACTATGATTACCGCTGGTCCAGTGGTCATGTCCACCATGCTAGATAAACGAACATCAGGCAGTCTTTATTGTCAGTCTTTGAGGTGTTGGGGTGGAATGAGCTGTAGTTCCCACTTCCTGTTATTTGCTTATTATCAATATATGAATGTGTGCATTGTGAGTACACACTGTTCTTGGTACAGCTGCTCGCACCCAGCATGGTCAAATTCAGTGCTGAAAATGTTGATTAAGTGAATACTATATTTTTACTACAAAGCACAAAATTGAAAAGCAGGCCTCCATATTTAAATCTTACATATTACAAGCACAAACATCATACTTCTTCTGCCTTGATGATTTGACCTCGTAGTTCTCAGCTTTGTAGCTCGGTGCTCTTGTTACTAGAGACCCAACAATGGTTCCTCTGCTTCCTATCGCTCAAGGACATCCTCTGCCCACAGACAGCAAGGTGGCAGGGATTAATAAAACATGCCTAAGGCTAGGGGTAGCCTTGTTTGTCCAGCGAGATAGAGGAATTACAGGCATCAAATCAGAAGAATTAACAGAGTGGTGGTTTTGTTTGTCAGAGTTTATTTTACTGAAAGATGCCAAACAATTTTAGATTGAAAGATTTTGATGAAAATAATGTATTATCTGTTGGTTGGTACATGTAGTAAAAAACATCATGAATAATTTATATTTATGTTGTCAGATGCACATATTAAATCTTGGAAACAACAAATATATAATAAATTTCTCTATAAATAAATTAACACAGAGATACAGGATTAGAAAAAAAATAAAATGTATTTTTTATTTCACTAGTCTTTAATGAACTGCATAAAACCTGTTTTACAATAGCTCACAAACAGGGTCAGAGAGCAGACTATTTTAAGGAGATGTCGATGTCAAAGTTGCTGCTCCCCTTTTGGAAAAACTCCAGGCTTGACTCACACTTCTGTCACTGTCAATGCCACAAGACTGCAGTTTGAGGAAGTCAGCCTGCCTGCGAACAGGCATGAGCCATCGTAAGCTACAAGCCTGCAGAAAGTAAAATATTATATCAGATAGAGTTTTACTGTAGCACTGTGCACTGAATGAACAGTAGAGTTAAAACCTACAGGGGACATTCCCCACACTGACTGTTCTGTGAGTTACTTTTGAGGCACGAGTTTCATTTATGTCTTCACACCAATTTTACTATTGGAACTCATGAGAGACGTGTGGGATATTACTCTTAAGTGGTAGTCAGTCTCTACTGTTGATGATGCAGCTGATAAGATATAATAGAGTATTTACAAACTTGACCTTTATCTTTATAGGACAATATTGTAAAGGTCTCAATCAGGCAGACTAAATTATCCCCCACACATCCACCTCTGGTGCAAACAGCTTGCTGCATAAGGCACCCTGTTGTCTGTGCAGACTCCTGTGAAGTGGAGGAGGCCTGGGAATGTTCTGTCTAATCTGCTCTGAGATATAGCCTTGCTCGGGAGCCCCTAGAGATAATCTCTGCCTCAGACAAGAGCTGCAGCAGCGTCTCACAGATATACATGACAAACATCAGATACAGCTGGCGTCAGATTTTCGTGTTAGCTGAGAGCGAAGGGGTCACATGTCGTTTTTCACTTGTCGTCGTCAACACTTCCATAACTGACACCCACCTTCTATCTCCATAATCTTATATCCTATAATGTGTTACCTTACTTTAAAGGCCTTCAAGGTCTGACAGACTTTGTGACATGCTGCCAACAATGATTCCACAAGCTCAGATGTTATGCATAACTTTAGCTTTTTAATTGAAAATGTTAATCTCTGTCTACAAAATCTGTCAGTGTGTGTAATGGGAGAATAAAAAGACTGACATTTTTCTGCAGGGTAGAAAAAAGCTGGTGAGTGCAAAGTGTTTTTTTTTTTTATTGCAAGCGCTACTGTTGCATAGGGCAGACACAACATGGTCAAACTGTTCTCAGTCAACATGCAGTCCAGTTTTCTGCAGTTTTATCACCATGCGCTGATTAGTTTCTGCGTCAACATCTACACAAAAACACATTAGGTCTGTAACAAAGAGACTTCAGTGCTTGAATTCATGTTTAAATATTTAAGATGTTACGGTGTTTGTATGTATTGGTGGCCTATGGGTTTAAGGCCCTGATCATAAACTGCAATGTGCCTGAATAGAGTCTGGTCGAGACTTATCCCCCCTTATTTCCTGTCACTGCTCTACTAACCATAAAATATTCTTTTAAAAGTTGTGGTGTCATGAGTCCATGTCCACTGCAATCCACAGAACCATACAAAAGAAATGTTTTATTTTTTACTTTTTTAAATGTTAATTTCTTATTTATTCTGTAAACCATAAAATTATTATATAATTTTCTGTCATCTCAATGCTGTTAATGCCTGATTCACGCTACCAGGAAAAATGTGGGGGGAAAACAAATATAATAGTTGTCAAATGTATATCAAGTCCTGGAAAAAATGCTCACCATATGTGTGATTTTAACTGTAGCACATGCACTACCCACAGGTGTCAAATTTTATAGCATGAGAGACAACAAGGCCAGAAAAAAAGATTTGGGTTCTGCATTAAATCTCAGAATTAAAACTGCAATAACCAATATTGTTACATGAAGAATGCGTCAAATAACTAAATGTAATAGGAACGTGGTCGCTCTTAGTGACAAACCCATAGATAATTATCACCCGACTTCAGTTTCCTTCAGCTCTGTGGAGCTTTCGGCATCTTTCAGCTCATTGTTTTGGTTCACTCTCACCGCTCTCATCAACCTACTTTGCAGAAGGCAGCTGTTTTCAGCTAAGGAGCTCTGAATAACCCAGTGTACACTACCTGGTACCTAATACTGCTAAGACTGCAAATACTGACTTTTCTTTATTCTGCAGTAATAACTGTTTAATATGAATCTAAGCTTTACATAATGTGGTTGAAGATTTCAAGTCGATAAAACAATAATGAAGCCTTTGAATGTGAAATAACCTACAATAAAAATTTAGCATGAAGTTGTGTAAATATCTTATTTGTCTTTTCTCCTACAGACATTCCATCTAACGAGAGGTCGAAGAATGGCTATGTTTTCCAAGAGATGGGTGAGTAGCTGCAGTAATACATATTATATTTACTTTTATTGCTTTTCTTAGCAGGGGCCCTGCTCTTTTAAGTACTCTGCCTTGCAAGCACAAAAAGCTTATTCAGTTTAAGTTCCTCCAGGATACTAAACACAATACAGTAGTATTTCACATGTAAATGTTTTGCAGCAGTTATTTATGCTAATGAAAATGCTTCTGGCTGCTCACTGATGACCCATTTCACATGCTGGTAAGCACAGCCCGTCTCTTTGCTGGTGTGTTGAGAGGTTAATTAATGGCTAAATAATGAGGCAGATGATCTCTGACTCAATGATGGGAAAAGGGAATATTCATAGCTCAATGCTTTCCTCATGAAGGGTTAAGGTTAATTCTCTAATTCTGTGACTGTTTCTTTCACCACTCATAAAACGCGCAATTGAGATGCCATATTTATCATCTATGTAATTAAGGAATTTACAAGGGGCTGCTATTGTTATATTGCTGCATGTCTGGTTTAAGGGGGATTTTTATTGGGTCTCTCTTTCTCCCTCTTGTGCTAGTCAACAGATGGCAGAGTGGTGGGAGGCAAAAACATATTGTCCCTTACTGGTGACACTGTTAATGTGGCTAGCACAACATCCTAACCTTGATAGAAAGAATTTGTTTATCTCACTGTCTTAATACTGGTTATTTTAGTCAATTGTAAAGTGAATTTTAGCAAAAAGTTATTCCGACATAGAAACTCCTCCTCAACTGAAATTACAGTACTGTATATAATGTATAATCTGAGACTTGGTAGATACTTGACTGTGATTTATATTTAATCCACAGAGTTACAGGATGGGGCACAGGAAGGTTCAAGTCAAGATTCACCGGTGACTCACCAGGGCCATATCTATGACAACCAGACCCAGATCAGTGTTTCAGGTGTGTGTGTGTGTTTAAAATAGTACTAAACTATTATCATTATCATATTATACCTAAACATGTCTGGTCTGTGGCGGGATTTGTTCTAAGAATAAATATAAGTTAGAGAGAACAAATGCCTTCATTATTCAACAATACTGATTAAAAAAGATTCATTGCAGTGGTATGCTATTAGGTTGTTTCTACTCTTGTGACTTTCACTGTCTGAGAATAATTTGCAGCCTCTGCAGTTAGGAAATCATGTGTGTCAGCTCTGATTCCCTGAGTCATAATAACTGAGACAAAGTTCATGGACATGAACTGGCAGCTAGTAGTGCTCCCTATTAACTATTAATACTAGAGAGAATGAATTTTATACTTTAGTTATTTATACTACATTTAGTTAATAACTTTTGAAGTATGATGGCACACTTTATAATGAGGATTATAGTAGAGATAAAGTGTCAGAAACAGTGTGTACAAATAGAAATGTCATTTCCGTGTGGTTTTCATTTGCAGATCCTGACTGCCCTGGGTTTGGGCTTTTAAATACAACAAGAAAAGTAAGATTTGCTTTTCCAGTCACCCTTTCTGTGTTATGTCATAATAATTTAATGCAGAAAAGCAGCTTTTGCCACTTCCTTTTACATTTTTTCAGAACATCATTTTCCCAACTGTCCCATTTTAAAGCTAAAATCCCCAAATGTCTACTAAGCTCACACTTCATGTTTTAAATTTACTGACAACTGTGCTAAATCTGAAAGCATCAGAAGTGAGCTGGAAGGAAACGCGTGTATTTAGTTTTTGTTGGGCAATATACAGTTAGCAAAAATCTGAAAATGGACCTTGAAATCTCACCTGTTATTGGCACTATTACACCATCAGTCAAATGTCTCTTGTTATTGGCTTACACTAGTATGTGAAGCCAATGGACTTCCAGGAGGAAGTGCGTGCCCACAGAGACGTAGACAGCTTCCTGGCTCAAGCAAGCATCATTTTGGATGAGAAAGCTGCCACTCTGGATGAGGTCCTGAGGCAAATGATAACTCAAGTGGTGGAGGACGGCCATAGAATCTGTGACGTAGACGAGGTCATGAACTCGCTGTTCACAGACGCAGGAGGAAAGGAGTTTAATGGCGAGTAAAACATGTTAGAAGAACACTTTGAAGCACTTTGAGATGAAAGTGTTTGCTTCAAAGGCTGCTTGATGTGTCAATAGCTTTTTAGTCTGTTTTGTGCTCCTGCAGTTCACCTTCTGTCAGAGACCATTCAGGGTGTGACTGCTACTTCCACTGGCATTCATTACCAGCAGTCCTGGCTCTGTATCCTGTGAGTTCATCTAAAATAATATCTATGTGCTATTTTGACCAGTTTCTTCCAACCTCCAGCTCAGTAGGTGAATGTTGTGAAAAATCTCCCTCTTGATAGTTGCTGAGTTCATATGATTGCACATGGACATCACGCAAAAATATTTTCATTGGAAAAATCATTGTTTTGGCTTTAGTAGGGGGGCTCTACTCTATTTACACCTGCCAATACAGTATGCTGCACAATCACTCATTCATACACTGCTGATTCAAAATGAATTATTTTTCTATCAATTCAGCTCCAGTGTGAGGAGCCTGCAGAAACGTCACGTCTGCATCGCTTGCCTGAAGAGGCCACAGAACTGGGGAGTCAACTGCTGCGAGGCTCGCTACGTCATCCTCATCCTGGCCCCTCCCAGAACAGTAAGGTCCAGCAATCTGACCTGGAACTTGGAACGTGTTGAGCTGAAACAACTGGTTGATTAATTAATTGACAGAATATGAATAGGCAACTATTTTGATAATATATTATTTGTTTGTTTTTTAGGGAAATCTGTCTGATATCATTGCTTTTAGCTTCTTTCTTTTTTCATATAGTAAAAGGATGATTTTTTTTAAATTTGGATTGTTTATTGGACAAACAAGCAACTTGAAGACATCACCTTGGGAAACTGTGATGGGCATTTTTCCAATAACCAAATGGCTAATTGAGAAAATTATAGGCAGTGTAATCACTAATAAAATAACCATTATATGTAGCCTAGTTTGGATCTGGCTGCTGACACTTGTTATATGTCAGTTTGATCCTCTTTCTTTCTGTCACATTAAGTAGCTTTAACCAAATGTTAAATAAAATTGTCCCTTTGTGAGATTGTGAAACTTAAAAGCTTAAAAAATTCCCCTAGCCAGCATATCCTATTCTTAATTCCTTATCAAATAAGAAAAATAAGTACTAAGTGTGATATTTAGCAGAATCTAGGTTAAAAATACATAATTGAAAGAATACAGTCAAATTGACAGAATAGCCCGAATCTGTTAAGCATCTCCTCAACTGTCCTCATCATCCTTTTCAGAAAAGCACCAAGACGGCCATTGAACTTGGCAGAACCTTTGCCACGATGTTCTCCGACATTTCCTTCAGACAGAAGCTTCTGGAGGCCAAGACCCAGGAAGAGTTCAAACAGGAGCTGGTCTACAAGCGACAGCAGCTCTCCATAGTCAATGAGAAGTCGACCGTAGAGGAAGTGGAGGACCCAGATCCACGTAGAGGGAAATCACTTCAGGTGTGAAAGAAGAGCAAAGTAGGGGGTGTAAAACAGACGGTGACAAATTGGCTCTGTGCTATAATCAGTGCAAAATTTATTGAAAATCCATGGACGATCCCAGTATTTTGTCACCCTATCCACGCTCAACACCTCTGTGAAGCTAGGAGGCTCAGCTAGAAACTCAAACCAACCATTTTTATCCACACCAAGCATCTAAATGAACTTATATCACAACATAAATCACTCTGTAATCAGTGTACATGGCTGCAATTATTGCCTTCCACATATCTCTCCTCTCATCCTACACCGCAGTCCGACCACTCTAAAGAAAGCTCAGCTCCAGCTCTGATCAGCTGTGTAACATATCACTCAAATCGCAAAACTCAGGGAGTTATTAGCCGGGGAATAATAACAACAAACGCACCAATATACATTTATAGTTACAACTGCTGACTTACTTTTGCCGTTTTCGCTGTTTTCAGTCCAAAAACAGCTGTTTTCTGTGTGTATAAAGATCGCCCTGGGCTGCCATCTTGGTAGAAGAAGTGTTGCTTTGGAACAGACGGTCTTTATTGTCGTTTACTGGCCAACTTATAGCAACTACACAGACAATATACCAAACGATTTGTCTGCTCAAGACAAAGAGAAAGAGAGAAGGATGAGAGTACGATGTTCTGTTCTCAAGTTGTGGGCCAGTAAAGCAATCAATCTGATGATCAGTCTTCACTGTTTTTATCAATATTTCAATGTTTTGGAAGCTTTATGTTATTTGGAATGTGGTTGTTTGGAGAGAAATAGTGTTTTGAAGAAAACTCTCAATAAAAGTGAACATATAAACAGTAGATATGGCCACAACATGGACATCCGCCTGGTATATTTTTGAAAGTATGTAATAACTGTTGTTTATTAGTTTCTTTTCATCAAATTTACAGTTACAGTTGTATTCCAGATGTATTAGAAGATATTCTGTTGCATTATAACGAGGTGGATGATGGTTTTGATGGTGATATTGCTATTAGATTTTATACCAGGCGAGGATGAAAATATATTTTCATTTATCGCATCTCCTTTTACTCTTTAATAGAAAGATAAATAGATTAATTTACAGTTGATTCATATTCATTAACTTCTGAACGATCAAAGGAGACCTATCATGCATATAGGCCTAATGGTTGAGGAGTTAGTTACTGATTCATTTTGGATATGTTATTTTTCGTCTGTTTTTCCTGGAAATAGGTGTCTGTTTGGAAATGGATAACTATAGAACTGTGATGCCAAAAAGAAATAAACCATAAAAGCTAATATTCAACAATATGGAAACCTAACTCTACCCAACAAGGAATTGTTACTTGTAAAACCAACATTTATATTCTCCACTGTCTGTTAGCTCTCCACATGTGGAGGCCACCCACCTGTTTTCCCACTCCATCCAGGCATATAAAAATGGGATGCAGTAAAGTAAAGTAGTTGAGCCAGATTATCTGATTATCCTGTTTCCACAGTCTATCAGCCAGGCTCGAGGAATGAGAAGCAGCTGGGAAACAGACTGAAAAAAGCTGCCGAGTCTGCCATGGTTCTGGCAGCAGAATATGTGCAGTTCCATGTAATGATAAAGTAATTCATTATGTCCAGTGTTTAAATTAAGAGGAAATGCAGGAGGCTGGACAAGAGGGAACACCCAAATTTTGCCTAAAGAGAATGCATGTATTTGGGTTTGGTGTGGGTAACCAACCTTTTTAACTTATTCAGCGATTTGTATAATACAAAAACAAAACTGGACAGTCAGGTATGTATGCCAGTATATGTGATTTTAGACTGCTATGTTTCTCCTCAAGTGTCTCTACACTGAATATTTTTTAAAATTCATTATTTATTATGTTCATGCAGTCAGCAAATGTATGAAAATGGACTCCAACTAGTCATAACACAGTATGTGACTAAGTGTTGTTTTCTGAACTAAGTATAAACTTCACACTGACTGAAGTGTCCAGTGGCTCTGACTGAGTTCTGTGTTTTCCTCCACAGTGCACAGATTTCTTTAAAGCCGGTAAAGGTGTATTTGAAGACCTCCGCCGCAGACTCCCCCTCTACCCATCAGACTTCACAGATGGTATTTCTATTTTCTCATAGCACAGCTGCTTCCTAACTGGGCACATATCTAGTGAGCAGATTTGTTACTGCTACAAAATCATGACATTTCTTCTTTAAAAGTCTCACACTTTGAAGATGGCTTGAGGATTTGGCTGCTTTGACTCTTGTGGTTGTTATATATTTAATAACCTGTTAAATAATCCATCAAGGTTTAACTGGGAAGGACCGCTGTCTGCTGAAGTACACGACCACTGCTATTTTCCTCTACATTGCCATTCTACTGCCTGCTATTGCCTTTGGCTCACTGAATGACGAAAGCACCAGAGGGGAGATAGGTAAGAACTGTCTTTACTGTCTTGATCTGCAATATCCTATAATATTATTAATAATTACATATGTAATCTAAAGCATACAAAACTACTGAAGGTTTGCTGTTTTTTGACAGATGTTCAGAAGACTATTGTTGGCCAAGGCATTGGAGGAGTGATCTACGCTTTGTTTGCTGGCTCACCACTAGTCATTCCACTGACCACCGCACCACTGGCCATCTTCATAAGTGGTATGTATTGCGTCCAACTACTTCTACTTCTTAAACAATGAGATTAGAAGCCACATTTAGATTTTTACTAACATATGAATTTATTTGTGGAGCATCACCAGCAAAACTTTGTCCCATACAATTGAGTACATGCAGCAAATGCATTATAAATTCAAAGGCCACCCACAGTGGGAAAATTCGCTGTATGGCGCACAATCGCTCGATCCGGCCATTCTGTACACCACAGGCTGCTGCTATTCACTATCCACCTAGTAGCTTTGCTTGGCTAACTAGTAAAGAAAAAAGAAAAAACAACCACAATAATATATCAGGGCTTGATAAACTTTAACTTATAGCAGTAATAAAAGAGTAAAGGACTTTTAAGATCTGCTTGGAAACCATTTTTTATACTACCTATAAATGGATACAGGAAATGGAATTAAGAAGTATAGTTGATGTGTTATTAATCATAATGATATAATCTGTCTGATTTAGTGTTTATGTGTGTCTTTATGTATGTTTTGTAGTCATCAGGGGCATCTGTGATGACTACGACCTTGACTTTGATGCTTTCTACGCCTGCATCGGTTTGTGGAACAGTCTGTTCCTCATCCTCGGAGGCTTCTTCAATGTCAGCCTGCTGATGAAACTCTTTAAACGGTAAATACACAACACCACTCTCAGACAACTTGTGTAACAATGACATATCATAGACGGAAGCCTCATACTTGCAATAAACAGTATGTAACTAACCATGTGGCCATGAGATCACTGATAATAGAAGAAACCATCTGTTATGACTTCCTGTTTTCAGCCATAATTGTTAATTTTGTTTAATGTACACTCTTCCTGTCTGGGCAATCATTTTGCCTTGAACAGACTGTTATGTCTCTGTGCCTGTAAAAAAACATAATTTTGATACAATGAATGATCACACCATGCTACATTTATTTCCATTATCTCCCAGCTCAACAGAAGAAGTCATTGCATTGTTCATCTCAATAGCATTTGTTGGGGATGCAGTTAAAGGCACTGTCAAAAGTAAGTCACACCAAGGTCAGACTACAATAAACATGTTTTGAATGCTTCTGCAGCAGAGCTATCTTTCTTTAACATTTATTATAGGCATTGTAGCCCACCAAAATACAAATACATCGTGGAGAGAAAAGTAAGCATGAAATCAAACTAGGCCTGTGTGCTGTTGAAAAATAGACAATCCTATTATGTTAGTATAATGGAGTCACATTGCTTCTGTTTATATGTTTTTCACAGGTGTCACAAGATGGTAAATAAATGGATGAGCATATGGTGTTTTCTTCAGAGCTTTCTTCTTCCTTCTTTAAGCCTTAGGCTGTTTTCGACTAAACTACAGTAAACTGAGAAAAGTTTCAACACAGTGCACCGCTTGAATGCTTGAATGCGCTTGAAATACACGGACAATTATTACATAAAAGGGCGATTATATCGATATGTTAGCACAATACGTATAAAGACATCCAAGTCTGTTTTGACATGGACATAAAGTGTATTTTCTTAATATTCTCTACTTTAGGATTAGATTTCTTTTTTGCTTTTTTAAGACTTGAAAATATGTTAAATGAGTCAGTCTCCAAGAGCAAGAATAAAAACACTCATGTTGAGTCTTGGTTTCTTCCTCATGTTAATATGACTGTCATTTCTCATTTTTACAAGATACCAAATTATTCAGTTTTTACAGGATAATTGCTGTAATACAACATATCACTTTATCTTGTTATATCACAAAACGTCTGTCTTCGTATTAGTGTAAAAATCAGTGTATCAGAACAAACTTTTCACTTTACAACACGATTTTTTTGTATGTTATTATGATGTACTGTATAGTAGCTGAACCATGTAAAAGTGTCTCAATATAAATGGAAAAGATCTAATAGAAACGACATGTACATTACATTTACAATTTCCCCTGCGTACATTAACATGCACACAGGGGCAATTGCATATCTTTTCTTACTGTTTTTCATTTATGCTGCAACAACGGGTGTACATAAAATGATTGCCTTTACAAGAAAAGGATCTTATACAAATGAGAAAAGACGCATTATAATGAGAAACTGTGCAAACACTTTCTTTTATAAAGGTGGCAGCAATACACTGATGTAAGTTTGTCCCCACTGTCAACATTTTTTCTTTCTCCTAACCCTAACCTCACTTCCTAGTTTTTAAGCACTTCTACCATGGGCCAACACTGGCGACAACAAACAGCACATTGGTGCTTCAGCAAATAAAAGAGATTCTAGAGAAGAACCAGACGGGAAACACACTCGGGGATCATAATGAGACTGTGTCACTGATGGGACATGCAGGAGGCCATGCATTAATCCTCCTGCCTGAGTCTCTGGTGCTGACCACAAGAGAAAGACCCATCCTCTGTCTGCTGCTCATGTTGGGGACTTTGTGGCTCGGTTATGCCCTCTACCTCATCAAGAGGAGGTATGTTCACTTAAAAAATATATACAGCAAGTAGTGGCACGACCCTTTGGCTTGCACCATGCACTAGCAAAATATAAAGTTACACGGTTACACGTGAAAGTATCATCAGCAACAAGTGACCTGCTGGTGGGTCAGTCATTACAAACTCATGCTTTGCAGCCAAACATGGTTTAAATCCACAGAACTTTATTTCTAAATATAGTGGAGAGCTTGAAGCTTCCAAAAATATCCCAAAATGTCTAAATGCAGAAACTTGAGGAAATGTCAATAGGATGATGACATCTACAATATTTCCATTTGATTCAATGGTCAGCCATGTTCAATAAAGAGTTGGAACATGCAGATAGAGAACATATACACGATGCTGTCAGCGTGACACAAGATTTTTTGTCTTAAAACAAACCTTAAAGCTACTTATGTAAGGGAACATTTAAGATGTATTATAATGGTGCTGAGCTAATTTTAACTACTTCACATTATTTATTAATCTGTCGACTAATTTCTTGATTAATATTCAGATTACTGTAATAGAAGAGTAAAGAAACCAGAAAATATTCACATTTAAGAAGCTGGAATCAGACCATTTTGACTACTACTAAAATTACTCAAACAGGTTCATTGATCAAAATAGTTGACAACTAATTGATTAATCATTGCAGCTTTACTTTGTATACTGTTTGATGTGTAATAATGCATCATATTTTATAAACCGATAATTGTTTTGAATATAAAATCACAATAAATAAAATAAGTAGTCACTGTAACGCAGAAGAATGTAGAGAAGTACAATATTTCCTTTCGAAATGTAGTTTGATGGAAAGTGATTTACGTAAGTACTGTACTTAACTACATTCCTGAGGTACTTAAATTTTCAGGCGATGTATCGGACAGCTGTATAATAGTTTGCAGATTACAGGAGCTGTATGCAACAGTCACTGCCACTAAATGTTGCACTACAGCATCAGCATCTCAGACCAAAACTAGCGGGCACTGCGGCCCACCAGCGTCCATTGAGAAAAACAGTAATTGTACCTTGCATAGTAAAAAAACACACTTTATTGAAACTGGACAGAAACTAAATAAAACTCACCAAAACCTTCATTTTTAGTCTTTCCACTGTTCCAACAATCACAAACTCAATATAAATTTACCGTGTTAGATGAGAAAAAAAGCAGCAGTTGTATTGCTCTCCTCAAAGCCTAAGCCCAAAGTTTCACAGGGTGGGACACGCACGAACATGGAAGCTTCGATGATTATTTTGCGAAACAGTGAATGAAACCACCCAGGAGGAAAATAGCTAGAATCAGCTCAACATTAACAACATTAAATGCTGCTTACATGTTGATTTATCGGTAATAATAATAATAATAATAATTAGTAATAAATATAATATACACTAATATGACTCTAATCTAATTTTGAATGCAATACATTACACATTACATTCTACAGAGGATTCTATAGAGGATCTGGCTACTTCTTCCACCGGTTTAAATACTGGTACACCAGTTTAAAGTACTTATAAATTGTATGGAGTTGGTAGGACCTGAAAAAGAGGGAAAATGTACATTGCAGGAGTCAGGCAGAAGGTTACAAATCTTCAGCAATGATTTTCACCCTTCAGGTATAATAATGTAATACACGAGGTAGATAAATGTGACTCCTGGGATGTCATCATTCTTTCCCCTCAGTTGCAAAACCTTCAGTACTTTTCAGTTATAGATTATTTTTCAAGCCAAGAGAGTAACTGCTGTAAATACAGTAGTAAAAGTATCTGAATTTATTACATCAGAGTTGCACAATGTTGAAATATGTGTCGCTTTCTTTCTTTTACCCACAGCCCATATCTGAATGACAGAGTCAGAGAGGTGGTGTCTGATTGTGCTTTGCCTATCTCTGTGGTGATATTCTCCTTCATTGGCTCCTACCTTTTCCTTGACATACAGCGTGAGTACAGATCTCTCGTATAAAAGAACTGATAGAAGAGTACCCTTGAGACTTAAAGTCACAACTTTGGCACAGAACACCTTTCACTATTCATAAATCACCTATTGGAGGGGGAAAAAAATGTTTGCCTCTAGTGAGCTTTCAGCACAGTGTGGGTTCTGAATCAATCTGGGTCAAATACACTGGGTTGAATGTTCCTTAAAAGAGGCTAAGTAGCAGCAAAGTTCACTATTCAGTAATGTCTTTTACTATGTAATGTTGTCATTTTCTTTTACCTTCCATACTGTTCATATTTGATTTTTATTAATCCTATGCTCCTATTAGTTCCTGTGTTTAGTGTCCATGAGGGCCCGACCTTCAACTTTCCACAATTTGGAAAGCTATCAGGAATGAACACGCTGAGCGCGGTCGGCCTGGGTTTCCTCCTTGCACTGCTCATCTTTATCGATCAGAACATTGTCATCTCACTCACACATGTACCAGAGCACAAGTAAGCCCCCCGAATTTGCATTTCATTGCCAAGACATAACATGTAATTTATGTCTGACATCAGTAACATCAGTTTCACGGCATTTCTTAATTATTGGCAATCATCTCCAGTAGTAGCTCATGAAAGAATTGAAGTACAGCTGCAGTCTTTCATTGACAGACTTCTTGAAACTGGTGTGTGTGTGTGTGTGTGTGTGTGTGTCAGGTTGCTAAAAGGCACAGCGTTCCACTGGGACTTAATGCTGACTGGCTTCATCAACATCCTCATGTCCTGTCTGGGCTTGCCATGGATGCATGCTGCCTTCCCTCATTCCTCCCTACACGCCCGTCAGCTGGCCAAACTGGAACAGCACGTAGAGAACGGACACCTCTACACGACGTGAGTAAAGTTAAAGCAAGGGCAAAAACCAAAAACCAAGCAGAGCTTTGAAAGACATCCAGCGCATGACTGATTGAAAATGCCCTTTTGATTCTGTTTGCATGCTTTGTCAGTTCCAACTCTGACCAAAATAACTAAATAGCTATTTAGTGAAGTATATATTATATGCTTTTGCATTGTTATTTTTGCAAAGCTAATTGTAAAATTATTAAAATACAATGTGAGAGCTCCACTGAAAACAAAAAGAGGGTTTTTTATTGTATAACACAGTCTTCATCAACAGATGCAGTTTCCTCGTTTGAAAGGTAACCGATTTTGAGAAAATCAAGGACTTCTTGTCCATGTTACTTTAACTAAGTTGAGCTTGACATCGGAGACCATGTCATATGGTCAAAAGCTCCAGAACAGGTGAATAAGTGGACCTTGAGTTGAGATGGATTGGTCGATGTTATTTTTCTTATTTCTATTGGGATAGTCCTTTGATGTCATGGTGTAATGTTTACATTGTTTTTTTGCTGTTGTCTACCTATCCTTCCCACCAGACAATCCCACCTTCCACCCTTTTCAGTCCATGTTGCTGTTGTCTCTTGGTCATGCTGCTTTGCTCTATACAACATCAAAATCAGAAAAATCAGGCCCTACCTTACTCTTTACGCCACCCAGCTTCTGGTACAGGCCATGGTTATCTCTCGCCTCGACTATTACAATGCCCTTCTAGTAGGTCTTCCAGCTTGTGCAGTGAAACCCCTACAAATGTTTCAGAACGCAGGAGCACATCTGGTTTTTGTTACTGTGTGACCTCCACTGGCTACCCGGGTCCTCCTGAATCAAATTCAAGAAAATCTGTCAGGAAATGTTTTTTCCATGTAGCTGAAAAAGAAAAACCTGGTTACTAAATCCTCCATGGTGGTTCCAAACCTCAAAGGAAGAAACATCTGTGGGGTAATTCTAATTGGTATTTATTTCTTGTGAAATACCAGATACTTTCACCTGTTTGGGGCCCGTACAAATTATTCAAATAAAACCAAACCCTAAGTAAAAAATCTTTTGACAATCGTGTCTACACTAGTCATAAGCTGTAATTAGGGGTTACAAATAGCCATTGTTATACTTTAGAGGGTCACAAGCCAAAAAGGTTGGCAACAACTGCTCTACAGTCATTATGGTAAGTATTGTACATGTTCTCTGGTCACATAAGAAGAGTTTATTAGGATATTTAAAGTACTTTTCTCTGCCTTTGTGTCAAACAGTATTGTCAGTGTGAAGGAGACACGTCTGACCTCGTTGGTGGCTAACATCCTGATCAGCTTGTCTGCATTCATGCTGCCCATTCCTCTGCAGTGGATCCCAAAACCCGTCCTCTACGGCCTCTTCCTCTACATCGCAGCTACTTCGCTTGATGGGAACCAGATGGTGGACCGCATGGCCCTGCTGCTTAAGGAACAGGTGAGCAGGGAGGACACTGTGGTTTGATTTGTTGGTCAGTTTGCCTGTGTGCATTTTATTATTTCTTTCCTGTTTATCCACAAAACTTCACATGGTGACCACCCCAAATAGCAACCAGTAGTAGATATTTCAGAAAGTTTGATTTCCAGATATACAGTGGGCAAAGAAAGTTCAGGGTAAAATGTATTCCAATTTTGCTGCAACCATGACGAAAACAATTCCACTCAGTGTCTCCTACCATGCTTATTTATACAAGTCTGTATGAGTTTGTGAAATAACTACAAAGTTTCAAAACATAACAAGATGAAGTATTGTTATAACGAGACAGATTTTTAATTAACACATTTCTTGTTAAAACAAACAACAGAAAATATGTCATAATAACAGAAGACATTTGTCATGGTGGCAGAAATAATTTGATATACAAACCAGAATCAATTTGACCAAATAGTAAGATAAGCATGTCACAGGGAAAATTTCCCCACTGAATTTATCATTTTTGCTGAAGGTGTATATTTACACAAAAAAATGTTTACTTTACAACTGTGATGGTTATTAGTCAATCTACTTGTGCTTTAGCAAAACAAAATATAAAGCAAAATGTCACATTTTAGCCACATCACACTCTCACCTCTCTGTCTAGACCTCCTATCCTCCCACCCACTACATTCGGCGTGTGCCTCAGAGGAAGGTCCACTACTTCACCGGGTTGCAGATGGTTCAGCTGGTGATCCTGTGTGCATTCGGGATGTATCCTCTGCCCTACATGAAGATGGTCTTCCCCCTCCTGATGATCCTGCTGGTCCCTGCCAGGTATGATGACCCAGGCCAACAGGGGGCAGAGTGGGGCCATGGAAACCAACACAGATCTACAACATCTGCATAGACCTGACACTAGTCTAACATTAATGCTGAGCTGTTTCTAAAGGGGCACTCCACTGATTTTACACGTGAAGATCAGTTTACAAGTCACACTTAGTGTAAAAAAAGTTAGATAAAGTCTTCTGTGGCTCTAGAGGGAGGTCTGAGGTCTGAGTCTTGAAGAAGAGAATTGATGTTTGGGTCTTTGTCTAATGGATTTATACCTTTGGATATGGACTACAGTTGAAAATTAGCCTGCTGGCTAACACTGGCACATTTACAGAAATGTTGATTAATGTGCACTGTCCTTAAATAAATAAATGAGAAATGAGATACTATTTCTAATTATAATACATGTAACTGTACGGTATCATCTGGTATCTCTCTGTGTTTTATCTCAGGACCAGCCTGCTTCCCAGAGTAATCGACGCCAAGTATCTGGATATCATGGACGCCTAGCACATGTAGAACAACCATATGAAAACATTTGTTCTCGCCACTTGGAAGGGGAACAGACTCAGAATTAAATAAAATGCATTTGGACTCTAAGATTTTGATGACTATTTACACCCATTATTTTTTTTTGTCACACTTTAATATGTAACATTCCTACATCTTTATTATATTTAACAACTTAATCATGAAGGAGTTTGTGTTTTTATTTTTTTTTTCCTACACAGAAATCTGTCTTGAACTGGTAACTGACAGGTGCAAAAGTTAGAGAGAGAGACATTTTTTGTAATACTTAAAACTACTGATTCAATTCATTTAGGCATTGTGTTGTTTGATAGAGAGCTGCTTGGTCTTGGTTTTAAGTATGAAGTTGATGATGGGATTAGCTAGTTCACTGTTTTACCACCATAGATAATTCATAATCATTTAATTGAGTGAGAAGGAATATCTCACAGTCGAAGTTTCACCTCATCCTGGTAAAGTTTTAATCAACCGCACTGATACAAGGTATCACAAGATACATGTTCCAGTTGTATAATGCTGTTAATATAAAGATATTTGGCTCTGTGCATTGAAATGTTAAGATTCACTCAAACAGTTAAACAAATAAATCCCTTTAAAGGAATTGAATGAATATTTTCATTATACTGAACATCCTTGATATTAACTCCCAAACAAAATACTTAACATGCACCACCAGTCCACCACGCATCATACTGTAGGTAACAGGACCTGCTAAAATACAATAATGAGCATCAGCACAATGCCTTCCATTACTGAGCTGAGGGGACTGACAATTGTAAAGCTTAGATTGTTACACTTCTCCAATAGATGGCAGTAGAGGTTCATCTCATCATGGTTTTAGATCAGGATTGGCCAGTGAGAGATGTGTATAATGTGGGATAATGAAGCTAACATTGGACACGCATATGAACAGTTTTTTCATCATTTTGTTTCTTCTATTACTTTCTGTGCCACCTGATGTGTTCATTTTAAATGCAATTTATTGCCTTTGCTGTGCTCAATATTCTTATTCTGTCATTAACGCAATCAACTACTTCGTCATGACTGTTTTCCAGGCTTGTATTAACTGTCTGTACTTAGTGCCTTGAATATATTTGCATAGAAAAAATAACACCCAACTGTTTGTTTAAGCCCTCTAACAAACAAAAGGAAGCTCCTTTCCACATTGTGCTACAATAAAGCAGTGATTATCATCTCTCACTGCGTGGCTGAATCCATAATCATGAGTGCAGCAGAAGTTTGTTGTAATTCACATTCAATAATTTGGAATTACACTGCGCAAAGAAAATAGTGTGTCTTTGGAAAATGAACCAGCCACCATGTGAATGTCCTCTGATAGACACTATGTATAGTTTTCTTGATTTACACTGATAGGAATTTCACTGGTATGATCAGATTCACTGCAAAAAAACCCAGCAAAAAACATGTCTGTCATCTTTATTTTAACATTTGCAGCTGTTTAGGTTTAGCTGTTTTACACGATTGTACAAAATCAAGTAGAGGCAATAAAGGACGCCAGAGAGTTTCGAGGTTGAAAGTTGACCCTGATGACCCTCCTGTGTCGTTCTTAAGTCCAGGTCTGCCAGTACGCTGGGCCAACTGTAAGCTCAAGTATAAAAAATACACCAAATCCCATGACTCTGCTGAGATTGGCTCTCTGAAGGGACTTTTCGTTGAATCCCATGAGAAAAAAAGAGGAGAGAGTGAGACTGTCACCATAGAGATACATCCAACACTTGGTCACCATAGAGATGCTGCCAATTAATTTAATTAATTTGCCATCAGAAAAACCTTTATATTTATCTCTCTGCCACCTACACAGAACACCCCTTGCTGATCTGAGTTCTGCAGTGAACAATTTGTGCTCTTGTCTGGGAAGGTGGAGCCCTGCGGCTCCATTAGTTATGGGCTCCCTCCACATTTCCACAGTGTCTTCCATGTACCTGTGTTGCCTTGTATGCCTGTCATCTCTTCCATGTCCCAGAAGTGTCACCGGCAGAGTCTATGTGCTCTTGATGCCCTGGAAGCCGCAGAAGTTCCAGCGTTTCTCTAAACTGGCTCCGACACCAGACAGCTCCTGTCTGAAGGTGCACGGCAGCCGAGAAAGAAGAGCCTCCACCTCGCTGGGGTTAATCTGCAGGCACACACATAACACAGGCATGCACACATATCTTTACACCTCCACTATTCACATCTCTGCTCTTCATTTTCATTATGCTCACACTCAGTTCTCACACCTTCACTTAAGCCCAATGAATAGGGCAAGCATCAAGACAATATGAGCTACATGACAGGATTTACGCTGGCTCACACCACCCGGTGGGCTGAGGAAATTCAGAAAGGCTAAGGTGACAGTGGAGACAGAAATTCACTGTACGAGCTGCTGTAGACAACCCGCAGCTTCTTGCATTAATGACAACATTCAAGCCCGTTGCTGATGTCAGGATGCATTAAGGCCCATCATGGAGATAGGACTAGTGTATCATTACAGACAATGGTGCTGCGTGAGTGTGGAGCCAGTAGATAAGCAGAGAGGATTGGGCTTGTTGTCGCGGAGTCCAGCCAGTGGTATTGACAAAACTCCGTGGGCTGCTTGATGTGTAGAGTCAGTGTTGAAACAACAGATACAAAAGGCAAACAGCCGCAGCAGACCTTAACAAAAACTCAGACACGCACACAGTCATGTATAAAGCATGCCAAACACATACACCTACATGTCACACACATGTTTAAAGCAACAGTTTAACAGAGTTTGATAAGAAAATGGATTTTACCCATGCCTGTACAGTAAATATGAAGCTTGAGCCAGGAGATGCTTAGCATAGCTTAGTTTAAGGACTGGAAACTGAGGTATCCAGCTAGGCCAGCTCTGCCCAAAAGCAAAAACAATCTGCCTTCTAGCATCTTTAAAGTTTACTAATTAACAGATTATATCTCATTTGCTGAATCTGTACAAAGACGTTAGAGTAAAAATGACAAGTTGTATCTTCATCCAGAAATGAGAGTGGTATTTATGAGGGACCAAAAATGACATATCTATAAATGAATGAATAAATAAATAAATGCAAAAATAAATAAAAATGTAAAGGCTATTTCTGTATGTGTGTGTATATTATATATATATAATATTTAACTTATTATCATTACCACAACAGACAGTTACTGCTCTCTGATGTACTGACTTCAAACCAGCGTTAACAACCGCAGCCTGCAACACTTCATTAGTAAATATGTAAATATTAACTGCTAACACTATCTCTGGCTTTACATGAAATGTATCCGAGCCTTTGACCATTTTGCGTGTTCAGCCATCCTAGCAAACAACCAACAGACCAAATAAGACATGAAGCGAACAAGGGCGTGAGGTAGGCTTGTACGATGAGAGGAAAATCTGCGATAACATTGTTATATATTGAGATGATCACTTATAAAATAAAATAAAAAATATTGAAGTGCGCATATTGGCTGCCTGGTTGTTTTGAAATTCAATATAGGGTTTATATTAAACATTCTAAATACAACTAAATGTTGTTGTTTAATAGCAAAGTCAATATAAAGTCGATATCTGACACCACAGTACTGAGTTATGTTTATAAAGATTGAAGATATCAGTCTGTTTCAGTCTTTCCTCCTGTCTTCCTCCTCCTCTCTCTGACCTTACTGCCAGCAGGTAACCTTACCTGGTAGAGAAGAGCAGCCGGTCCATCTCAGCCAGCAGCTGAGTTTATAGCAGTGTGCCACAATTTAAGCTACAGTCCAAACTAAGCTAAACAGTTAGACTAAAGTTACAGACAGACAGATTTCAATTTAGCTTGTTTTTAACATTTAGCTAATTGCCAAGCTAACGTTAGCTGTGCTTGTATAACACACAGAGGATGAGCGACTGGACAGAGCAGATTAAAATAACATGAGCCGCTGCAGCCCTTTACTTTTCCCGCGATTGAATACTGACTACGGCCGTCTGGCTGTATTTTAGCTGTGAAGGTAATAATGACGCTGTGTGTGATGTGTGTGCAAAGACAGTGAAATACTTTGGCAACACTGCCAACTTCGCTAAACATCTGAGATTAAGTCTGTCACAATAATATGATCTGAGCAGGATATTTTCATTATAATTCAAGAAAATGACAGCTATTATTTTGAATTGGTAAGGCTACAGGCTACTCCTTATTTCTCTCAGAAACGGGAGGGGGGAGATCACATTAAACTAGAAATAAAATATGTAAGAAGTATTGGTATCGGCAATACCAGCCTGGGTATTACTTGGTATTGGATCGGATAGGAATTAAGTGGTATCGCACATCACTAGTGTGTGTGTGTGTGTGCAGGAGCCCACACAGAGCAGGCAGAGGCTGCAGCCTGAACAGTAGGCTGTAGCTCCGGGCCAGTTTAGGCCGCATTTTGGTGCCAGCACTAATAACATTAGCTTTCTTATTCATCACGTTTCAGGTTCAATCAGTTTTAAATGACAGTCTCAAACATAAGGTCTGCACAAGCTAGACTGGAAAACGTTAGCTGTATTTAATGTTATGCTCCGGAATTTTCTGGTTTTGAGAAACTTGGAACCTGATCCTATAGAACCGGGTCTTGATCCCTATCACTAGCTAGCAAAGCTAAAGGCATTAAGTTAGGTTAAGGTCCTCCTGCTGTGTTGCATTAAATGCATATTTCTCTCAAAAATGGAGAGATTGTTTAGCAGGTTGGATTAAGTTAAGGCTTTTTACGTGTAAAGGTTTTATTGCACTTATAGTAATGAGCATTTACCAACTGGACTTCACCTGACTTTTGCCTGTAAGGGCATTGCTCATGTATTTAATGTAACGTTAGCCATCAACTCTGTCACATTCGCCCTTCGGAATTCTGTGTTTTAAGACATACAGCCAGCTGCAGTGTAGGTGGACATCAATATTAAGTTGTTCTACAATGCGGCTTCTATTGAAATGCAAAACAGTGATTTAATAAGTCATTTAGAGACACCTACCACAGACTTTCGACAAGGAAAATAGCGCTGTAAAAATTCCTGTTGGTTGAAGGTTGAAATCCCAGAGAAGGAGTTGGACGGGGAAGTCTTTTAAATACAAAAAACTACACCAACAGCGGAAGAATCTTACTCTAGCTGTTGTTGTAATAACCATGGAAGAATGTACTTTGACACTGAATATGTTTTACTAAAGGAATCTACTGTGTAGCTGGCTTGTGTCATGTAGATGAATCACTTGCTTCTGTCTGGTTTGCGATGCGGCCCCCAGCTAACCAATCCTGCTTCAGACTGATGTTGGCAACACCCACTCTATTAGCATACAGGCGCAAGGAAAAATAAATGTGGAAATGTGGAAATGCAGGCATAAATAAATGTGGAAATACAGAAATAAATAAACGTAGAAATAAATAAATAAATATAGAAATACAGAAATAAATACAGAAATCTTTTTTATTACAAAAATATATTAAATTTTAATTTATTTCTGCATTTAATTATTTATTTCTGCATTTTTTAAATTTATTTATAGATATGTCATTTTTGGTTCCTCATAGGGTATCGGTCTTCTCATTTAAGTCTTGGCAATAAGCCTATTTCCAAAATGAACAAAGACCAGAATGTTCTGCTCTTTGTATACCTTTCTAAGAATGAGTCACAATGTTTCTTAGTATATACAATATATTAATGGTATAACTCTTCCAGTGCTACATTACTGCAGCAAGGTGAGAAATAAAGCCACTGAAACAAGTTTTTCACCTGCTGTCAAGTCATGTTAAACTACCTGGTAAGTTTAGAAAATATGTGTCTGTCACTTGATTTCAGCTATCGTTGTAGTTTACTATGAACAAGGCAGTATAGCACAGTCCTGATCAATCCGAACTACATTCAGAATACAAACATTTTAAATGTTGTAGTCTTGCTATCTTGCTGACAGACCTAAAAAAGCATGGATTCATATGTTTAACAAATTGGCATCTGTTTATTGTAATTAAATCACAGCAATATGTTTACTTTGGTTTCATGTTGCTGTAGTAATCGCAGGTTGGGTTTATTCGCATCTTGGCAGTAGTCCAGCGATTTTCAGAGATTAAATTTGCGTTTTATCTGAATGCACAGTTATACAGACTGATTGTCAGCCTAAAGCAGTAGCAATTCCTGTATTTTACATCACATCAATCTGTTTGTATCAGACCTATCAGATCGAACAGAATGAAACTGACTGTCTATAATATTACAGTTCGAATGCCTGGTGAGAAACCAATGGCCTTTACTGTAAAATCATGATAAACTAAAATCATCACTTTAATTTTATCAAGTGGATGTTTTCGTCATGGAGGTGCCAGTCAGATCTGTAGAAAGAATGAGTGGCAAGAGGTAATGAGAGCATATTTAGAAATATCAGGATCAAACGGTCTTGGAGGCATGGTGACAACAAGCTCAGCTCAGTTATAAACCAGGAATGAGCTCAAACGTGAAGAGAAATCAGGCTGACTAACAGCCTAAACTGGCAGCAGCAGCAGCAGACGGACGCAGAACATGAATTTATTTATCAATAAGTAGTGCAAGTGGGGACGTGATAAAATTAGAAAGCAATAGAAACAGGCCCTAACAGAGCAACAGGTTCTAATGGAGTAACAAAAAACTTTCTATATACAAGGTCGGAGCAGCTGAGGCCTTAAAAGTCGAGACAAACAAGATTTTGACCACAGGGAAGGTCGGCAGTGTTTCGTCCTGCATCGGTAGTAAATACCTGTTGGAATGAACCTGCCGCCCTGCTCCAATGGCAACTGTGGATTTGCTCTGCTGCCCACATCAATTGATGTGGTAGCATCGGGCAACTCCCAGTGTGTGAAACTACTAGAAGTGTAATGCAAAGCTACTATCTATACCTGTTTATGTCTTATCTGTATCTTTCTGCTGCCATTTGTACTCCCCAGACATACAGTATCTATACGTTTAACCATGGAAAGTAATTAATGAAATATTAAAAGATTTTTAATGATTTGTATTTGAACCTCAGCTTCAAAGTAAAAAAACAAAGTCTAGTATGGTCTAAATAAAAACTGCAGCTTTTAATGTTTTGGGTGGAAATCAACAGTGGAAAAAGACCTGAGTTGAGTGAAAAAATACATTCAATCAGAACCAGACACACCGCGACAACCAAAGGACATTCAACAAATCTTAAGATACACAAATGAACAGCATCACATTAAGACCCCTTAAAAGAACAATTTGTGCATAGGTTTAAAGGAATTAGTTATTTTAAAAGCAGTGACTGACGATTTATAGCTTTTGGTTCCAAGTTTTTTTTTCCGGTGTTAAAATTCACCAATGGAAATCAGATTTGTCAGCTGCAAGTCAGCCAGTGTATTCCCGGTAGAGGGAGCAGCGTAGCTAAAAACCCTCTTAACGAGTTCTGTACAGACTCCAGGTATGCCAAGATTTTCTTTCTAAACTGGCAAGATGGAAATAAAACTTGTTTTTAAAGTGATACCTTTGCCTTTCATGTGCACTTTTGAGACGGTCCCTAACTTCAGCACCTCAGTTTCTTGTCTACTGTCAAGTCACGCACTGTGTCAGGCTTCAATATCAGATGAGGTAGAAAATAACACCTGTGGAAGATCAGTCAAGCTTTACTCCGGACTGCACAACTAATCTGGAGAAAACTGATAGTAATTGAGGATGAGCCGGGATACAGAGTATTTGCCCTAAATCTACGAACACCTCGAGGTTTTAAGCCTATAGCCTGTATGTTTACATACTTTATACAGTATACACCTGGTAAGACGGGTGCATATGAGAGTGAAGTTGTGCAGCTTTAAATGTACTGCATGTGTGTTGTTCAACAACCTTTGCTGAGATAAATGAAGGCTAAAAACGTCTCAGTGTAACTGATGGCTCTTGCCTGCACTTCAGGTTTGTTTGCGTGCCAGAAGTAGAAAATGGCACAGCAGGACCCTGGCATACAGCAGGCCCATATGTCTGCACTGCAGGAAAATTTAATGTATGTCACTATGTCTAGGATATATGTGTGTGTGTGTGTGTGTGCGTGTGTGTGTGTGTGCGTGTATGCGCGTGTGTGCCTGTTACCTTGGTGTCCAAACGCTGCAGGTAGGAACAGATGTACTCGATGCTGGCTCCAAACGGGTGCACGTGCAGGAAGGTTGAAATGATCCCTGGGGTTGAACAAATAGGCCACGCAGACATGTTAAGTCATTAAACTGTCAAAAGGAAAAGACACACCTTGTCCCACAGCTCCAGAGCTCCAGCCTTTGAGCTTCTGTTGCCTGTCAAACATGACTTTCAACCACAGCAGAATATTCAAGAAATCAGTTTGCATAGTTCATCCTCCTCTTTCTTGACTGAAAAACAAGCGAGGATGTATCGAGTGGCTCTTCTAAAGGCTCCCAACACTGTTAAGAGCCTCTTGTATATTGTGGCTCTAGATTAGAGGGAGTGTTTAATGGCGTTATCTCTCTTCAAAGTTATGTGCTACTGAAACTCTCCACAAGCTCAACAAACCCATCTGCTCAAAAGTCTGACTGGCTAAGCATGCAATGAAGAGCACAGAACAACAAGAGGAACTTAAAGGATATTCCCAGATTTGTGTCTTATTTTGGTCGTTTTGGACGACATTGTGTTTGCCAAAGTCATTGATGAGATCTGGGAACAAATGAGGTTCGTTTTGGTTTACGTGAAATGTCTCTATGTATAACTTCCCAACACACACAAATAAATGAAGGTAGACTTCTTAGCAACACTCATGTTAAAATATGGCGATGATGGAGTGGTTATCTTGCATACTGATGACCTACTTTAAATCATATGCTGTTGTCTGGGCCAAGTTCAAGGTATGTGCTTGAAAAAGGGCTTATAATATCTTATAAATTATATAATTATTAATCAGCTTTTAATGCCATATATCGTCAATTTTGCAGTATTGCCACATTTCAACATTGAACTTGCAGGGCCGTAGCTGCTCTTTAAGGACACTGTGGTCATGGCCTCCACAATATTTCTGCTAATTTTAACGGTTTGATGACATGAGGATGAGTTAACATGAAACAATTACACACATATTAGATGTGTAAAGCTAATTTTATAATTCCTTTAGACTTAACATTTGAAAAAGTTTGTGTTTTCAGGCAAATAAATACATAAATAAATAGGATAAAAGAGGGATATTTCCACCAAATTACATGTAGAGAAGGCTTTAAAGGATTATTTAGACCATAATATACAGAAATAAAATCTAACTGGTTAACGGTTAACCAAATAAATGAATAATATATATTTATTTTATATTTTTTCAAAAATTTATAAGAACATTTTATAGTATAGTATAGTTGGTTGGTGGCCAGGAAAATATTTCTTGGGGTTGGGATTCAGCTGGGGAAATGTGGATTCTTGACCTCAGTATTTATAAAATATAAGCTTTGACCCTGTTACCTTGGCGAGTAAAATAAAAAATATTACTGATGACAGAAATTATGGCCAAACCTACAATAATAAGCTGACCCAAGTTGTAATAAACCAGAACTATACAAAAAGATGATTTCAATGGTGTTTTCTTCATCTTGTATACCTTTGCTTCTAATTTTTCTTGAAGGGAGCAGTTGATATGTTATGCAACTGTGTCCATCTACATTCACTGGGTGGAGGGAGAGAAAAGGCAAAGAGATTCAACCCATTGTTTTCTGATGAAACATTTTCCTTCAGGAGCCAAGCGTCCCTCTTTTCCTGCCGTGATCACTTCAACTCAACATCAAACAAGGTGTCAAGAGGAGTGATTCTGAAATAAGGAGGTGTCAGGATCGTTAACTGTGGTCCATTTTTGCCTCAGCAAACAGCCAGAGTGGGCATCAACAGAGGACAAGCACCATTGACTACCTAACTATCTTTAAGCCAATCACATAGCTATGAGACAGTAGATGCAGGTATTTCTGGCACTGGGAGAACCGTAGAACTGGACCCAAGTGCAGAAAGCGCACAATTTGCATTTCCCTTTTACTCCCTAACAAGCAAGTTTTATCTTTCATGCTTTGAACCAACGGATGTCCTCGACAATTAACGTGAAAATGCAGCATGCTGCAAAACAAGCAGAAAAATAGGACAAGGCTTTGTTTACTTATATAAATAATGTTGTTTATTATACAGACAGGAGATAGATGCTGGTCATATTTTCCATTTTCATAAAGTCGCACTGTGTTACGTAATCTAATGAGTAAACTGGGCTCTTTCTCTCTTCATATTTTCTTCCTCTCTCGCTCTAATGGCTATGTAATTATGCATAGTTATTACCTCAAAGCGACTGAAGGAAATCAGAAAAATCCTACGGTCTTAGAGGTGTGGTTATGTTATACAAGGGACGATGTAATGCAATCTAATTCAACAGCTATGTAGTAAGCTCTCCCTTTGTGAAATATAATGTTACATTTCTGTTGAGACCATACTTTTTGAGGCATTAATTACTGACGTTGTGGTGTGGATTTCTGTATATTGGAAGGTGTCCCTATATGCTATACTATTTGGTACTCCTAAAATTGTATAAAAATTTAGGGTAATGCTAAAATTTGGGTGAATTTTCAACCTGAATTTGAATAAACATGTAAAAGAGCAATGCCTAAAATCAGAACATCATCAACATATGTGACACAATAAATTCTAAAAGCATAAAGAAGATTCAACATGACATGATAAAATACCGTAGAGCATTCTTGTAGGTTTTTAGAGTTAACAAGATAAATCTACAGACATGCTAGCAGCTTTGCGAGGCTATACTGTTACAAGCTAACTTCTGCATACTAACATGACAATGCTAAAATGATGATGATCAGATAGTTTAGAGTGTTAGCTAACTTAGTTTACCATGTTAGCATGCTAACATTTGCTTATCAATGTACAGCTGGGGGCTGATGGAAATCCTACTAGTTTTACAGATATTTGATTTTAAACTAAATTATTAAGCAAAGTGAAAAACGTGATGGTAGCACTTAGAGGAAAATTCAAGGAATCACCAAAGTTATTGGGATTAATTTTCTGGGCACCATGGATATCTGTACCAAACGTCATAGCAATCCATCAGATAGTTGTTGAGATATTTCAATCCAGACCAAAGTGGTGGCGCTACCATGGCTGAGACTGTTGATTGCACTTGGAATAAATTACTATAAAATGATACAAAATGTCATTGTCAAAAGCACCCTACAGTGCATGCCACAGATAAGTTTCAAACTGAATGAATAAAAGATGAAAACTGTCTGTCAGGTTGTTCATAGCTTTACTAACATTACTCACTCAGCTTGATTTTGCAGGTTCTCAACCCCAAATGACCCAACTATGATATTCATACAGTCTTGTCTACCTTGACAAACTTCTGTACATGCAACTTTCATGTAATAAATATTTTGTTTTTTATGCTTCATTGTTATTACATATTGTGGAGAAGTGGTAGTGATGCCATGGAGATACAGTAAGACAGCATACCGATTAGCAGTGCATCCCTCTCAGAGTGAACAGGACTGGGGGGATTCTTTTCTGGAAGACCTCCCTTCTCTTGACTGCAGGACACAACTGATGATGCTGTTATATCCTGAGGAAAGACACACAAAAAGCTCTTTGCGTCAAACCGAAGAGATCACAAAACACTATCGAAAGAACCAGAAGACACAGTATCAGCTCAATTAAACAATGATGCTACTGAAACATCTAAATAGGGCTCTGGGTAGTAACACTTTCCCATTTGATTGTGTACACCAATTTACTTGGCAATGCAAATACACAAACACATATTAATGAGTATGCAAAGTGTTTTCACTATAATCAAATGCAAAAATAGAAACTAAACATAAAATGATCTACATAAAAAGAAGGACAAGACAATGAGTAAAATATGAAAGAGCGAAAGAATTAAGCCAGCAGCTAGAGTTCTGACAAAGGGGCAAACCAAAATGAGAGAGAAAGTGTCAACGATGCTAATGATCAAGCTGTTGTTTACTGTGAGCCTGTGACAGCCTGATTCGCAGAAGGGAGGACAGAAGAGGAAATGTGGACGTGTGTGAGTGTGGCAGAAAGAGGCGTTATGTGTGTCTTGCATGAGTGAAGTTTCTACAAACATGTGGTGCATGGCGGCCTCCTCCCCACAGTCTCACCTAGTCTAACCAGGACCCAGAGGCCTTGTCTTCAAGTTCTTGTCTAATGTGAGAGATTTGAGTGTGCACATTTATTATACATGTGTCTTTGTAACCCAGTTGTGTCTGGGTGATTTATTCTGTGACAAGTACAGTCCCTGTGAACATTGGCCTGTAATGACATGTCATGTCAGTGGAAGAATTAAGGGAGGAGGGGAGGAGAAATAAGTACCAAAAAATGGGGAAGACAAACATTTAGAATGTAGAAGTGAGGGCTCAGGTTTCCCCCCCACTTACACTGACTTGATTAGCACTCTGTTCGCTCCCTCTGACATCTTGCTTTACCGTCTCCAGCTAGAGTCAATTAGAAAAATGAGAGGAAACGTCAATGCGAGACAAGTAACCCACTAATGCAATCAGACACACAGAAACTCACTCTCCATCTGTCTCTGACTCTCATACACGCAAACTGACACATACATATAAACATGTACAGCAGCAGCAGCATGAACAAGGCCTAGTTTCAGAGGGACTTTCTGTTCAAGTTTTGGAGACAAAGTCAAATACTGAAAAGTCAAATAGTTTTTGTGAGTATATGGCTACACGTCCCAGAATAGCAACCAAAATAATTGGCCCTCTGCTTTGCAGTGCTGCATGCAAAGTCACTGATTTATTGAATCAAAGCTGCATCCACAGCACAAAAAACATGCACTCAAAGAATACCTTATAAATACATTAGAATAAAAACATGCTGTTCAAGATGACACACTGACACACTGTTTAAAATAATTAAAGTCGCTTCTCTTTCATGGCTGAAGGCGGTGATAACATGATAACAGTGCTGACAGGTATATGATGAAAGATGACATCTTGAGAAGGGATTTAGAAGATTATGGCACTGATATAACTACATTATTAAACAAATACACAGTATTAGGAAATAATACTGCACTGACATTCTTGCATGAATGCACACAGTGAATGAAAGTTTACATGGTTTTATATGAAATCTACAATCTAATGTAAACACTGAACTATCCTGTCACACACTGTATGAGAGGAGCTGATAGACCGTAAAGTGCGCTGATATACTGTATGCCTTTGTGCAAATATGATCATGTATTTCTCCCATATTGAATAAAATGATCCTCCACCAGATGATGAAATAATACAAACAAGAGGTTTCAGTAAATAAATCCACACGTGTATTATATCCATATCATGGATTTTAACACTATTTTTAACTTTTTTAATAGTTTTTTTGTTTTTATTGCTGTATTCTCAACAAAAAAAATCATATTCTGCACGTCAATCACTGTCACGTTTGGATCTGCCACCAAACAGGACATGGACAGACTACAACAGACAGTCAGGATAGCAGAAGAGCTCATTGGTGCCAACCTGCCCTCCGCTGAGGACTTACTTGTCAAGAGTCAGGAAACGGGCAGGAAACATCACTGCAGATCAATCTCACCCCCAACACAACCTGTTCCAGCTTCTCCCCTCTTGTTGGCGCTACAGAGCACTGGGCGCCAAAATGAACAGACACAGGAACAGTTCCTACCCACAGGCAATCACTCTGATAAACTGCAGACACAGTGTCAGGAACAATCCCTGTACAATAACCCGGTGACACTGACTCTGGGACTCTCCTGTATATTTATACTTACTAGCAATTGTTTTTTTATACACTGTAGTTTATGGCTGTTATGTTGAGCTTGTTGTCCTGTTTGTTTATGCTTGTTTTGTTTATGTACACTGAGAGTAACGTAAACAGGAGGCAAATTCCTTGTATGTGTACACATACATAGCGATAAAAGGTGATACTGATTCTGATTTATGCTGCTCCAATCATCTTCATTTTCCAACAGGGACGGGATATTTATGATAGGATGTGCTATTTAGTGACATCAGGAATCAATGGATCAGTGATGGTAAACTGATGTTTTAAGAGCTACATTTTGATTTGATGTAATATTTTTGAAAAGCATCCTTTACATATTGTCATTAAAGAATTGTGGCCAAGATACTGTACGTACAGAGCAGGACCTATTAGGACATTTTAGAGCTTTTTTTCTGAAAACAGATACCTGTCAAATCTTTGGCATTTGTGTATTAAAAGTTCTTGTCACTTATTGGATGACTTTTGTTCATTCTTACTATTTAATATTTATATGTGTGATAAGCTTGTCCAGTAAAAATGCCAATTTAAGGCTCTAATTATGAGCACTTCCTTTACTACACTCCTCGTTGGTGGTGGGAGACTCTTAATCGTTGGAACTGCCAAGACAAGACACTTCTTCAAAGTCATCATCCGTAACCTTTCCAAAGGCTGAGACAGACCAGGAGGATGCAAAAACTTTACCATTTCAGTAGTGGTGTCTGAGCCACATTTAGGGGGACGGTAGTAGTGTTTGCTATGGCCAATTTCACTGGGGCTTTGCTGTATGTAGGGGCTGATCTGAGGGTGATGGCTGTGGTGAGACAGTGATGCGTGGTGAAGAAGTAGGGGTACATGCTGCACATGTACACATATATAGTAGAGTTTCTCTTAGAGAATCAGGTGTAAGCGTTCCCTGCTGCTGAGACACTGCTGGTAAAGAGGGGTGGGGAAGCGTGATGAAGCTGGGTTTTTTTCAATACACAAGAATGGGAATCAAAAACAAATGTAAATGTATGAAAAAATGTAAATGTAAAAAATATTTTAAGTTAACTTTAGCTGAAACAAAGATGGTGCTATAACTTGATAGCGGCATGCAACTTTTATAACCATCCATCCTTGCTTCTGATTACCTGGTGAGCTGACTTTTTTACTGGCAGGCCTCACAAAGGTCAGCCAAGCACCAGTACATGAATATGGGCTTTTGGTGTTGTTTTTAGTACCCAGAGCGCCACTTATAAGCACAGGATAATAAGAAAAAAAAGAACACACCACATACAGAATAATGATGCAATGTTGTTTGCAATAATGTGCAAGCAGCCAGAGGGAGGAGAGTGGGGTTTTCTCCAGTGACACAAACAGCTTGTAGCCATACGATTGTCTAATGGGATGGTCCAGAAATAGCCGGACATAAGGTACTGTCATCTCCTTAACATCATGTGAGGACAATATCCTCCTCACTGAGGTCCAGATGATGAAGTACCTACTATACAGCTTTGCTTATTTGGAGAGATAATCCTCCAGAGAAAAGGAAGAGATGACTGTGGAAGAAGTGAAGAGAAATACTCACCAGCAGAACAATAGAAAAGCTAAAGCTAACTAAAGCAGATAATCTAAACCAAAAATCAATTTTCCCTGCAGAGAGAAAGCCATATTCTCCCGAATAACTGTAGTCTGGTACCGACATCAGGAGGCAAACACACATGGTAAATGACATACCCTGACATGTAATAAAAATAATGATAACACTTTCTTTTACAGGTCCATTACTGATTAATTTCATTAAAATTTCTTAGAAAGTTTCCTGTCTTGACCTGGCTCCAAAGTTATGACAAAAGAGAGAGAGAAAGATGCAGGCTGAGGGCAAATTAATAACTTTTTTTTTAACAAAGAACATAATGCTAACACAAAATGAATAAAGAATGGGACAATAGGATGTGGTAGACAGCATAGTCAGAGGTAAGAGTGTGTTAGGAGATGATGTTGCATAAATTATCCAAAGACGTGTGGGAGAGAAGAGCTCCACTCTGACTGAGGAACGGTTGGGATTTATACACCAGGTGCTTCCAACTATGTCAATGGACTCTGCCTCCAGCTACCTGATGCATTAAAGAAATAGAACATATAGAAAAAGATAAACAAGTCAGAGGACAGTAACACTATGAAAATATGGTAATTATTATTGGGAAAATAGTTTAAAAAGACCATTATAATCCAAGTAAATATCCATTTAAATTGCAAAAGTTCTCAATATTCCATATATTGAATTATTTGCCTCCCTGTAGAATTTTTTTTTTTATTTATATTTATAATTTAGGCGACTCTCTTAATACCAAAATATATATTTCTTTCTGGGAGACTTCCAGATTTTTTTTCTAGTAAATTTTGGACCTGTAAAATAAAGTGTTGCTGTAATATTGCTTAAGTAATGAAAAAAATGAATACACTTGTGGCTAGGAAGCACTCATTAATCTACAATAATGATGTCTGTGAAGATTCTCAGTCATCCAGGTCAAAGTTATCAAAGGAAGGTTAAAATCAAGGGCAACTGGATTTGGCTGGAGAAGCCTCTTGGATGAGAGGCGAAAAGTCTTCAACCAAATCCAGCTGCCCTTGATTTTAACCTTCATTGGACTACAATAATGATAGATTAACCTCTAACCCACCAGGCTCAGTGGAGGAAGCTGAGAGGAGCTACAGTAAAGGAGCTCCCAAAAACCATCCCTAGTCCTACCCAGCTAAGAAACTGCTCCTCTAGATGAGCAATATTAGTTCTAAACAAACTAAAAAACAAAATTCAGATATGGAAGATGTGTTGGCCATTGTGGTTGATATCCTGAATAAGACCTAAGTAAGAAGGAGAGGGGTTTCCCCACTCCATTATTTGGGTATCATGGCACCTTCCTGTGCTGTCTGCCATGTGCAGATGACAGTGAAGCATCTTAGAAGGCAAGGTCCACAGAAAAGAGAAAAACTAATTCACATAGCTCAAGTATCTGCAGCTGAGCAACCTTCCATCAGTTCACAGCAAACCAACTTAAGCAGCTCTAAGGATAAAAAATGACCTGAGAGCAGAAAGCAAGCTGTCAGAGTCATCAGGCACCACTTGACAGAACCATTTTAGTATTATCATTATCCAATTATTTAGCTGATTGAACTCGAAGCTCATCCTCATGTCAGCCCTCTTCCCTGTTACCCTGCTGAGCCAAAATAGGTCAACCTGAAATGAAAACATGAGAGGTAGTGGAGCACACCTGCACCCAAATAAGATCTTCTTCAAGTACTTCAATAGATGACCTGCAATGAAATACCATTTAGTAGTATTTTGAAAAAGTTGTGGTGAAGAAAATGAGTGAATGTCAGTATTTTTAACTGGAAAGTTGAGGACAGTTTGGTTTCTTCACAGCTTTTGTCTGCACTACAATTCAGGGGCAACTGCACAACAACAAGCTGCTTCATGTACACACAAACTGTGCATTTGAGTTGCTCTGTTTAATCACAGTTTTTTCCTGTTCTTTAGAAGAAGAGTTAATGTATTAATCCCCAAGAGGAAATTCAATTTATTTCCCCTTCAAGTTTCCAAACTGGTTTAGAAAATAAATCAGCTCTGGTCTGGCTTTTCTAAAATCCTCCCACTTACTGCTGACTCCCAATAACCAGTTTGTTCTGTCTCCCATTTTATGAACTGTATCAA